AGGAGAACCTTGAGCAGTGAGCTTTTTTGGGAATTTTTTTGCCTCAGGCAACGAAAGCTTCTAAAAGCCATTCAACAGCATGTATTTATTTCGTAATTTCTGTATGCTCTTGAAATTCCCCTGATTTGTACATAGGGGTGAGACATAGTCTCCGAGGAAGTTGAGTCCAGTCTCATTGGCTTTGGTTTACAGTAGGCTGTTTGCCCAGGTAGTTCTGGCTCCTAAATGGTGGGCATTGCACTTTGGAATTCTCACACTCCTGACAATGCTGTTTGCACCTATCCCTCTTTTTTGTTACTGCAGTGACATGTCCTAAGGAGATGGCTGCAGATATCCAGCCCCCAATCCATCCTGCCTCATCTTACCCACAGCATTGACAACCATAGGCTGAAACAGTGAGGAAATTCCCTGGAACTAAGACCAGGGACCTCCCAACCCCTCTCTCATATGATTTAACAGACTGTAGAAAATGGCCCCTGAATGGGCAGTTTCTATTTCCCATCACAAGGTGGAAGGGAGAAAGAGCCCCATTCTTTATAACTCAAGGGTGGTGAATACGCATCAGGTCCGAGGGTTACTAGTGGTCATAAAGATAAATCTTGCATGGCCAGAGGAGGCTGGAGTGGCAGTGCTGCCCTTGCTAGTTGCACGGAAAGAAGAAATCCCATGAATGAAAGGGTTTCAGAGGAAAGCATGGTTTAATGACACAGTATATAAGGCTGGGTGGATTGTGAGGAGAGTAAGTATAATTTATAAAAGGTGCAACTTTTATTCCCATAAAGGGCCAGGTTGAGCCTACCTTAAATCTAAGTCTTCTGAAATAGCTATGATTATGTTGGTAATATGTTAAGAGATACACCTTTTTTTAAATGCTCTCCTAATCCCACCATGCCAGTACTAAGTAGTTAACAAGATTTTTTTCCTGAATAAATGTAGTGAACTTCATAGGTATCTGCCTTTAGTTTCAGTTTTCTTTATTGGGATTTTCTTTTGATTTTAGGGAAAAAAAGTGTTTCATTGAAAACATTGAGGTGAGCTTAAAATTATTCACAACAGTTAAGACCGCTTAGTATGCTACTGTGAACACAAAATATCTGAGACAGGTCTCTGTCAATTTAGAAAGTTTATTTTGCCAAGGTTAATGACACACACATGACACAGCCTCAGGAAGTCCTGAGACATGTGCTCAAGACATGTGGTTGTGGGTACAGTTTGCTTTTATACATTTTAGGGAGACATGAGACATCAATCAATATGTGTAAGATGTACCTTGGTTTAGAAGGCAGAACAACTCAAAGTGGGGACTTCCGCATTAGAAGTAGATAAGAGACAAAAGCTTGCATTCTTTTGAGTCCTTGATCAATCTTCCATTGAATACACAATTTAGTCTGGCTCAGTGAATCTGCATTTTTACATAAACAGTAGGAGAGAGGAAGCAATTAGATATGCATTTGTCTCTCAGGTGAGCCTCAGAGGGTTGACCTAATAGAATGGGAGGCAGGTTTGCCCTAAGCAGTTCCCAGCTTGATGTTTCCCTTCAGCTTAGTAATTTTGGGGTCCCAATGAAGCAGGACATTTTCCCTGACCCCTTTGCAGTCAGGAATTGGAGTGCACAGGCACTAGAACTAGCCAGCTGCTTCAGTGCCGGCAGGGGCAAACTCCACTCACTTGGTCCCACTGCATTCCACCCCCCCACAAGAGCAGGAGTATAGGTGAGTGAGTGCAGGAGCTGGGGCGAGGGCTTCTGGGTGCCAGCAGGAGCAAAATTCAGTGTGGCCCCATGACAGTGTCTAAGGGAGTGCCCATTACCCCTGAAGCCCCAGAAAGAGTGTTATAGTCCATGTTCTTTTAGATATGCCATTGGCAAACCCCTTAAGTGTTAATAGCTCAGTAGAGGGGTCAGTGTGACAGCCTTTTGCACCTGCACCTGAGTTCTTGTCCAGTATCCAGGAGGAATGAGGTCATACAAACAAATCGAAGGGTGGTGAATTGTGGAGGATTTTATTGCCAATGATAGTGGCTGTCAGCAGGAAGGGGAGGTGAAAAGGGGATGGAGCAGAAAGATGATTTTCCCCCATCCTTGACCGGACTCCTCTCTCAAGCAACACCATCAAGCTGTCCCTCTGAAGTCCAGCTGCTTCTGTCCAATGTCCAGCCAGAGTCTCCAGTGTCCCACTGCTTCTCCTCTTCTCTCTCTCTACTGGCAGAGCCTAGGGTTTTTATGGGCTCAGGAAGGGGGGCAGTGTGGGCCATAGTTGGTTTTGGAAAAGGCAACATTTGAGTGGGAGAACAGGAATTCATGTTCTCTTTGGGCTGTGGTTCCAGGCTTGAGGGTGGGACTGTTGCTGGGGACCAGCCCTCTTCTGCCCAGAATTTCCCTGCCTCCTGTCCCTATCACCAAGATTTGTTTTCCTTTCACACTTGTTCGCTGAGTTTTTAAAATTACCTTTTCTACAGAGTTGTTGGTATAATTTGAAGGTTTTCTTAAATTCTTATTTAATGGTTGATGACTTCTGAGGTAGCCAAACTACTACTAACATTTAAACAAATGTTTCACGAAACATTTCCAAGATGGCTGATCGCTCACAGCTCAGGATTGTAGCTCCCAGTGAAAGCACAGAGAACAAGAGGATGCCACACTTTCAGATGAATTTTTGTCACTCACGGACCAGAAGATTCCCAGTGGAGGAGCCCCATGGGTCACCAGCATGACTCTTATGGCCGGCGCAGTGGTTTTGCCAGCGCCTCGGCACGGCAGCTCTTCATGCAGAGTAAACAGGACTGGTTCCCCTTCTGACCGATGTTTGGAGCTCCGGGAAGGCAGAGCCACTTATTACGGACTCAAGAAGAAAGCCAGACCGGAGATTCCTGGGCAGAAGAGCACCATCAGTCTTTTCACTGCTGTTTTGGCCAGCACAGTGGATTGCTTGGATTCCAGCGCTGGGAATCAATAAACTGGACGTCCACTCAGAAACCTAATTAGAAAGGCGGTAATTGTAAAGACAACAGATGGATAAATTTCTAACAAAGGAAAGAAACCAGCCTAAAAAGGCTGAGAATACCCAAAATTAGAACCCCTCTTCCTCTACAAGGGATTATATAGTTCCTCATCAGCAATGAAACAAGCCCTGATGGAGAAGGACTGTGTTCCATTAACAGAAGTAGGCTTCAGAAGGTGGATGATAAGAAACTTCTGGGAGTTAAAAGAACTTGTTCTAACCCAATGTAAAGGAACTAAGAACTTTGAAAAAAGATTTGACAAAATGCTAACAAGAATAGACAATATAGAGAGGAATATAAATGAATTAATGGAGTTGAAAAACACAACACGAAAACTTAGCGAAATATGCACAAGTTTGAATAGCCGAATTGATCAAGCAGAACAAAGGATATCAGAGGTCGAAGACCAACTTAATGAAATAAAACGAGAAGACAAGAATAGAGAAAAAAGGATAAAAATGAATAAGCAAAGTCTCCAAGAAATATGGGACTATATGAAAAGACCTAATTTACGTTTGATAGGTGTACCTGAATGTGACGGAGAGAATGAATCCAAGCTGGAATATACTCTTCAGGATATTATTCAGGAAAACTTTCCCAGCAAAGCAGGACAATATTCAACCCCTGGTAATACAGAGAACACCACAAAGATATTCCTCAAGAAGAGCAACCCCAAGGCACATAATCGTTAGATTCACCAGGGTTGAAATGAAGGAGAAAATACTAAGGGCAGCCAGAGAGAAAGGTCAGGTTACCCACAAAGGGAAACCTATTAGACTTACAGCAGATCTCTCAGCAGAAACCCTACAAGCCAGAAGAGAGTGGGGGCCAATATTCAACATCCTTAAAGAACAGAACTTTCAGCCCAGAATTTCATATCCGGCCAAACTAAGCTTCACAACTGAAGGAAAAATAAAATCTTTTATGAACAAGCAAGTACTCAGAGATTTTATTACCACCAGGCCTGCTTTACAAGAGCTTCTGAAAGAAGCATTATACATAGAAAGGAACAACCAGTATTAGCCTTTCTAAAAATATACCAAAAAGTAAAGAGCATCAACATAAAGAAGAATTTATATCTACGAATGGATAAAATACCCAGTTAACATCAAATGGCAGTAACCCTAAATTTAAGTCGACTAAATCCCCCAATCAAAAGATACAGCCAAAACCTAATGGTATGCTACATCCAGACCCATTTCACATCCAAAGATACACGAAGACTCAAAACAAGGGGATGGAGAAAGACTTACCAACCAAATGGAGAGCAAAAATAAATAAATAAATAAAAAGCAGGAGTTGCTATTCTCGCATCTGATAAAATAGATTTCAAAGCAACAAAGATATAGTGGTAAAAGGATCAATGCAACAATAAGAGGTAACGATCCTAACACCCAGATACATAAGACCCATAAGAGATTTAGACTCAACGAGACAGAAAATTAATAAGGACATCCAGAACTTGAACTCAGATCCAGAACAAGTAAACTTAATAAATATTTATAGAGCTCTCCATTTTTAAATACACAAAATATACATTCTCTACTCTAAATACACAAAATATTGATCGGCCATTATTAATACCCATTTTTAGAATAAAGCAATATTCCCGTCCTCTCTCCCTCTTTTTCTTCCTCTTTCTTCCTCTCCTTCACTCCTTTTTTTTCTTTCTTTCCTTCTCTCGTTTCAAAAAAAAAAAATTTAGAGGCTTAAAGCAATGTAAATGTATTCTTTTACAGTACTGAATGTCAGAGTCTGAAATCAAGGTGTTAGCATGGATGCATTCTTCTGCAGCATTTTGAAAAGAATTTATTTCCTTGTTATTTCCATCTTTTAAAAAAAAGTTTCATATATGTTCTCAGATTCATAAATTAAGTTTTTCAAGAATATAAACTTATGAAATATTTTTTAAATTGTTAACTTGTATATGATAAAACTTATGAGTTTATTTTTTATGTCATTGTGCTGAGTCTGTTTTCTTTTCTTTTAATGTAATCCAGAAATAGACAACAAGAAATATTACAAGTACAGCAAAGAGAAGACATTGAAGTGGCTGGAAAAAAAGGTATAGTTCCTCTCTAGTGCCTGTGGTAAAATAAAAAATTCAGTTCTCTAAGAAATTTTTACAGAAGGCAGTAAATCTGAATCCAGAGACCATCCGCTATATTCAGTAAAAAGAGGAAAACTGTGTAGCGATACCAAGTATTAGAAGAAGGCTTTGACTTTTTAATCCTCCCTAACTTGTGTATCTCAGGAGTTAACTTTATGTTTTCTTGTGACCTGCATCCTCGTTTCTCCCTGATCCTACTACAGAGTGAAATATTTGGTGCTATTTGTTGATGCAGATTTGAGTTTTCCAACTAAGATGATACCAGGCCTGGCACTTGTTGGCTGCTGTCAGTCTGGCAGGTGTCTCCAAGAATGATGTTGCTCACACACAACCAGGCAAAGGGACCCAGGGACACAGCCAGGCAAAGTTGTTCAGGTTTAGAGGAAGTGTGTCCCACTCTCAGGGTCTGGAGGCTGAGGAGGGGGTCCTCTTATAGGCAAACCCTTTATCTTAGTGATCCTAAGAATCTTAATCTAATGGAAGGACTGGGGTGGTGAGCTTCAAATCAATTTAGTAGGTCACAACTAGTATTTCTTTTGGAATGGAACAGATTGGGAAGGGAGGGGAGGGGAAGTATTAAAATATAGCAGAGGAAGCGCAAGTATTACGTATGGCTATGTGAAACATTTATATATGTGTTTAAGTATTGGATTTCTATATATTTCTTACTATGGGTTGGGATTAAAAAAAAACTTTGAAAGCCACTGGTCTAAGGATAATATGAACTTTGACATTGATTAAGAATCTCACTAAACCAGATAGAATAATGATAAAGTTTTTACAATATCAGTGGATACAAGTAGTTAAAGTACTGTTTCCTAAGATTCTCTTCCATCTTTTATGTGAAAAATTGTGTTTGGCCACATATTGTCACTCATAAGTGGGAGTTAATGAACACATGGACACAGGGAGGGGAACATCACACACTGGGGCCTATCAAGAGCTGGGGACAAGTGGAGAGAGAGCATTAGGACAAATATCTAATACATACAGGGCTTAAAACCTAGATGACCGGTTGAGGGGTGCAGCAAACCACCATGGCACATGTAGATGCATGTAACAAACCTGCACATTGTGCACATGTATCCCAGAACTTGAAGTATAATACATTTAAAAATAATAAAATAGAAAATTATAAATAAATCATGTTTGTTTGTCATATCGTGTTACCAGGTTCATTGGAAGCCTGAGGAGCTAGAAATGAGCCCGGTAGAATAATCAGACTCCTAATTTGCAAAGTAGTGGCAAGATTTGAGTGTCATGTTTGATTTCATTCGCAGTATAGTAGTAGTATTCCTATGGAGCAGAATCCTTGCCCTTAGCAAAGGAAAATGGCATGAATAGCAAAGAGGAGTTTATACTTATTGATTATATTTCCTAGGAAGTGGGAAATTTATATTATTCTATTTAGAAAATTGTTACATATAGATTTTGTGTTAGATTCTATTCTAAGGGCTTTCCATATATTAACGAATTTAATACTCACAGTAGTCCTATGAGGTCGGTGCTATTTTTATTACCATTTCACAGATAGAGCCACAGAAAGGTTAAGTAACTAGCCATGGTGCAGAGCCAAACCCAGCAGCCTGACTCCAGAATCAGAGCTCTCAGATTTCTAAAGTTAAGTTGAAAATACCCTGCTTTCCTCCTCTTGGTTGCTTCATAGGTTAATCAAACTATGGCAGCATTAAAAACCAACGGTGTAAATGTCAGTACCCGGGTGCAGTCAACTGCATTTTTCTCTGGTGACCGAGTTTCCACTGACAAGGAAGGTAAGTAAAACATTTCATCAGAAATGATTTCTGTCTGGAGTAAGTTGCTTATGTGTAAATGCCTATCTTAGGATTTAAAAATCTTAATAGTACAGAAGCCTCATATTTCTGCCAATGCCTCATACACATTGTGGCAGGTGTGCATCTTATTTCAGAAGCAAAGAATATTTCTACCATAGGTTACTTCTGTCATTCATTGATACTTAAGTTATTTATTCAGCAAATATTTCTTTTACACTGATAGGAACCCTGGCTATCGTTTATCGGGGGTGTATTGTGTGCCAGTCCATTTGCTAAGTTGCCACTATACAAACATGATCCCATCCGATCCTCCCACTAAATTTCATTATGAGCATCTTGAGGCCCTGTCCAAAGACTCAAAACTAGTAAATGGCAAAGCTGAGCTACTTACAGAGCTTGTCTCTTAAGCCCACGCTCATAACCTTTTGGTGGTACTGTTCCTCTGACACAGTTGTACTGTTCCAGTGGGCTGCATCTGTTTGCATTTTATTCCCAAGACACATGTTTCTTGATACAGGGATGAATATATTTTGATTTTAGGTGAAAATTGATTTACTTGGCAATTTTTCTTTTAGGTTATTCTTTTTTTTTTTTTTTTTTTGAGATGGAGTTCCGCTCTCTTCACCCAGGCTGGAGTGCAATGGCGCGATCTCGGCTCACTGCAACCTCCGCCTCCTGGGTTCAGGCAATTCTCCTGCCTCAGCCTCCTGAGTAGCTGGGATTACAGGCACGCGCCACCATGCCCAGCTAATTTTTTGTAATTTTAGTAGAGACGGGGTTTCACCATGTTGACCAGAATGGTCTCGATCTCTTGACCTCGTGATCCACCCGCCTCGGCCTCCCAAGGTGCTGGGATTACAGGCTTGAGCCACCACGCCCGGCCTAGGTTATTCGTTTATAATCTTTTAAAGATATTTTTCTTTTCCAAGTAGAGTCCTCTTATTTTTATATGTATAGTTGAATAGCTATATAATGCAGTTAACATTTTCAAATGATGACACAGAAATTATTCTGACCTTAAACTCCAATTCGTTGTTCCCTTGTTCAGGGTGTGCAGCTCTGAAACATATGGCTTTAGTCATTAAATAAATAAAAACTAAAAATAGTGGCCTGTTTGTGATTGATAGTAATAATTCAGGCAATCTGATTTGCAGGAATCTACCTTGCATATATAAGTAGTTGGCTACCTCCATTCTGGGAGCGGTGGACAGCACCTTTACCATACTGAGTTACCAGCTGTCAGTGTCTTTAATTGGCTTTAACCATAGAAGATGAGGGATTGAGATAGATGATGAATAGATAGGTAGGTGGGTGGATAGATGCATGCAGATTCTGAGCTTGGCTGTATTGCCATTTAGTGTCCCAGCCATGAAGTAAGCTTTACATATTTTACATTATTGGTTTGGTACCAGAAGAAGCAAATGAATTACATGTTGACTTTCTTAAAATAGTTTTCTTTGTCTATTAATGACTCATTGGATGATGACTATCCCAGAACCATGAGCAATTTTAAGAAAGGTTAAATGATAACTTTCAGTTCTACTTTGACAATGAAAATCTCTTACTGAAGACTTTTTGACATCAGGTGGTCACCAGACGGCAGTCATTTTCTATGTAATACTGAGGCAAATTGTTAACCTTGACTTGAAGACAGAGAATGAAAAAAAGGAAGTGAATGAATATCCCAGCAGCAAACCTGGAGTCTGCTTTTGGTGGTTTATATTCCCATGTGGTTATCCCATCTTATGATTAAGTTTGATGATCTGCTTGTATTCTATGTAAAATGCTGAATTCAGGGACAGAGTTCTGAACAGATTTTGTTGTCTTCTTAGGTCACTGTATTTCTAATTGCTGCCAGAGGTGCATTTTAGTACTGAGAATACAGATGCTTTAGAATTAGTTGTTTAAGTTTCTTTTTTCCCCAAGTGTTTTATTAGTTTAGGAGTGTGTGTATGTGTGTGTATATGTATAGAGAGAGAAGGAGAGAGAACTACATATATATAGTTCAGGGTTTTTATAAAGCAAATACCTAGTAGTAGAGACATATGATATTATATTTCTCTTAAATGAGTACACTCATTACTGTTAAATAATTAGATTTATTCTTTATTAAAGCAGGCCTAGAAAAGATTACTTTTTTTAAAAAGACATGACTATTTCATATTGTTACAGCTGATTTTTAAACTTTATTTGTATTCATTGGTTTCAACTAACAAAGCACCCTGAATTTTTTGTTTTTACTGTCATTTAATGAGTGTCTACTGTATTATACTTGTATTATCTTATCATATCTTTGGTATTATCTCATGTCATATCCAGCATAACCTCCCACTAGTCTGACAAATAGATATTACTATCCCCATTTTACAAATAAGAAAACTGAGGCTAGAGCTTAAGTGCATTCCCTTTATCCAGAAAGGGTCAGAATTTGAACTCAGGTCAATTTGACTGTGAAACCACCATCATTACTATTTTTTAACCTTCACTCCTTCTGTTTCTTACAGAGGATTACATTCGTTATGCCCATGGTCTGATATCTGATTACATCCCTAAAGAATTAAGTGATGACTTATCTAAATACTTAAAGTAAGTATTCATTATCTTCAGTCATAATGAAGTACCATTTTGCTTCTTGGCTTCCCCAGCAGTGGGGTTTCCTTATGGCTTATCATATCACTGTTTCTGATGCAAGATTATTCTTGAGCTATGTCAAATACTTTGTGATTTGGAGGTGATTTTTAATGAATGATTGGAAGAAGTGATTTGGTAGATACAGGTTACCGGAACTAGTGAATATCAGAGTTGGAATTATAGTTTAGTCTGATTTTAGAGGATGCACTATGTTAAAATTTTATCCTCAATTAACTAATTTGGTTCTTTGTGATCATTTTAAGAGGAAGAAAGGAGGGATGGAAGGATTAGATGGAATATAATTTTTTTTTAATTTACAAAATGTTTTGTATCTTTTTCACTATTATCACTAGATGTTCATTTAAGTGACTTTATTATGCCCAAAACTTGGAAGTCAAAGTAATATGCAACACAATCTCTGTCTTTGAGGGGCAGAATAAGGGTTTTAAGAATGATTTCATGTATGTTCTTTTCTTTATACAGAGCGTATACATTTAGGCTTTAAGTTGAAAAGAAAGTGTTTATTTTCTAGATTTTTTCAAAATTATTACTTAATTTCGTTGTTAAGATTTTATGTGTATGATGATTTAATAGCTTTTCCTGATCCTTATAAATCCTTTTTATCCTCTGAGTCATGAAGATAGAATGACTTTTTAATAGATATAGTTGCTGGTTTTAGCAAATTCCAGAGGTCCTACTTTAAAAAACAATGACTGGAAACTGGTTTCTATAGTAGTTAAAGTGTGTGGAAAGCTTGCTTCAAATTGATAATCACATCCTTCTGCTTAATAGTTCCCTGGATTTCTATGCTGCTTGTCTTGTTAGAGACCTCATGTCTTTGTACTCTGTTATTTGTATAGATTCCTTTCTTTCCACTAACATTTTAAAGTTTTGGTTAAAGAGTTTAGAAGAAAGGTATGCCAATTAAACTGCGTTCTAAAAGTTGAAATTTATGTGACTTTTTGTGAACAATTAAAATAATTTTCATCTTTAAATATATGCTAGCATCTTTATTTATATAGAAAAAATACTCTAACACCCAAACACAAATTTATAGAGGCTAAAGAAAAGCAACTCTGTTTCAACAGATGGGTTCTAATTTTATTTTTTTGTTCAGACAACTCCAAAGCAAGGGGTTACGTAGCAAAATAAAGACTCATTTACTGAGAAAACTTTCATTCTTTACACTGAGGTGATTGAACAGGAAGATATATGGAGGCAAAGCTGTAAGTTGCAAAGTAGGACTTACTAAGTCTTAAGTTAGCCCTATCTTTCTGTGTGTTTGTCTATGAAAAACCATGACTTTAATTCTTATTTTTAACTTCCTTAGGCTTCCAGAACCTTCAGCCTCATTGCCAAATCCTCCATCAAAGGTAAGAAGCTGTGACTAAGATATCTTTGGGGGACTTAGAAAAATATTAAACTTTTACCACATGAGTTTAGTTTGTTCTAATATATTTTAAAGCATACTAAATCCATCTTGCATGGAGTGATGCCATGTGGAGTAAAGACTGTACTTGGCTCTCCATTACTATTTTTTATTTTCATCGATTCCACCTGAACGGTAAATAAAGTACCAGGAAAACCCAAGAAGAGTTGGTTTTAGCAAGGTACCCCTGTAAAAACATTAAAAGTGTATAGTTAAAATTAAATATTCCTGAATTAAATTAGTTAGATTACAATTAAATTTAGTAATCACTAAACATACTCTGTATATAACTAAAACTCATTTTGCCAAATCTAATTGTCACTGGCACAAAGGTGAACAGAGAATGATTTCCATAACACAAAGAATCCTTTGAGCAAGGATGATTACTTTTTTTCTCAATTTGAAATGGTTGATGAATTTATGTGTAAGCTTTCTCTGTTAGTGGAAATCTTTTCCTCATTCATTCTCAGGCTGCTACCCACAGCTCCTCTGTAGCTGGTGTGTTTATCTCCTAGATCCAGAGAATAGAAAAGCCAATCATAAACCACACCTGACTGCCAATTGCAGTGTTCCTTCAGCCCAGGCCAGATCTCAGATGAGTAAACACTGCTCCAAGACAGAGAAATAAACATGCGCACCAGCTTGTCAGTGAGGTCATTTCTTAGCCAGCAAAGTAACGGATGCCTTGAGAATGTAAAATGGACATATTGTGGATGTTAAAAACTTTCCTTTTCCTTTGCGTTCATTCCTTGGCCCTCAAGGTGGCCAACATGCTCAGAATTTTTATATCATTCCCTGTGGTGGTGCCAAAAACACTGATTACTTTAATTTTTTGAAAAGGACAGAAAATTGGAAGTACAGCAGTGTTAGTTTGGAGCCATGTTCAGCAGGTTGTCAAAGAAAGTGCATTTTTTACTCTCTTGGAGAATAGCACTGAGCAGAAATCAGTTGCTGTGAAATCTCAGAAGGACTGTTCTAGGCCAGACCCATGCTTCTTTCATTCCAGTAGTTAATCTCTGACAGTAGCTCTAGAGGACCTAGAGAGGCATAGTTGTCTTGCTGAAACTAAGAGGGTAGGTTCTCTGAGAGTGTTTCTTATTTTTCTTCATCCAAAAATTAGGCAGATTTCCCCCCCCTAAATGTCTATCTTAGTAACTTAGAGATCATTCAGGAGTTGATCTAAACCTATTCCTAAAAGCTTTCGCCTTGGGTACACTTTGGAGTAATGTGTTTCATAGGTTTATTCTTCTCTGCTCCTGATTTCTGTTTTCTTATTTTAATTTCCAGAATTTAAGTTGTTTGTGACTTCATCATTTATGATTTAGATCGGGGATCAGCAAACCTTTTCTTCTAAAGCCAGATAATAAATATTTTAGGTTCCATGAAGCAGATGGACTCTGTTGCAACTACTCAACTCTGCTGTTGTATTGTGAAAACAGCCACAGATAATACATAAACGAACGAGCATGGCTGTGTTCCAGTAAAACTTCATTTATAAAAGCAGGCAGCCAGCTGGATTTGGCCCCTGGGCCATCGTTTGCCAAGCCCTGATTTTGATTTTGGCATCTTGCTCTTTCTAAACTCCAGCCCTGTCTCCTATAGTATTTGAGTGGCTTTTCTAGGTCTTCTACTTTGCGTCTTCCTGGGGTTCTCATGTACACATTACAAATTATACTGATGATGTACCATCATTTAAACAAGTGTAGCACATATCTTCTGCTAGCTTTCCTGTCTGTATCCAGGATTTGATTGATTTTTACAGTAATATAGTTGATTGTTTCCAGGAAATATGTTGCAGTAGCCATTAAGTATCTTTGTATCTATGTTGTAATCAATAGTGTGGAGCCTGTCATCCTTAATATGTTTTATATTATTTTCCTTTACTATCATATGTCTGCCTTTGTTGAAGCTCAGCTTCCAACCCTCACCCACTCCAGTCTTTTCAATTTGTCACTGTCAGCCAGCAGAGCTGAATGCAACCAGTGGGTTTGGAGATGTTCCCGAGTTCCTTCTTGCAAATCATTTGTAAGACCTTTCCTTAATATTTTCTGTGGTACTCTGCAGTTTGTTCTCTTTCCAGAACTGTGTTCGTTTAGTCATAACCTTGGTTACTGTCTTTCTGAGCCACTCTTCTGCTGAAACAATTTCCCAAATCCATGGCGATTTGGTCTTTCAAATAACAAAAATTTTAGCAAATGCTACAATCCTCTTTTTTCCCAGTATATTCAACAGTACACTGGGAATAACATAAAAACTAGTTATACGCAGAGGCTACCACAATCATTTTATTTTTTTAAACACTTATGACTGGTATCTTGTTTGGTTGTGAGCTATTAAAATACCTGAACAAGTCATTTCTCCTGTTAAACATTTTATGCCCAAAATACCTTTCATCTTAAGTTCTTGTCATGAATACTTTTTATTTGAATTATCAGTGAAAAGTGAACCTCACCAGTCTTGGCATGCCCTTGTAGTCTTAGCTCGTTAGGAGGCTGAGGCAGAAGGTCTCTTGAGCCCAGGAATTCATGGCTGTAGTATGTGATGGTTGCAACTATGAATAGCCACTGCACTCCAGCCTGGGAAACACAGTGAAACCCTGTCTCTAAAGAAAGAAAGGGAATAATGTGTAAGTGTTTATAATGACATCTTCACTGCTCTAATATTGCAGAAAATAAAGTTATCAGATGAACCTACGTTAGGAACATTTTGCCACAGAGAAGGAACACAGCATCCTCATAACTTCAAGCTTTTTGTGTTTTGAAAATGTTTTGGCCTTTAGCTTTATTAGCTGCGAGTTCCATTCTCTTAGCTGAAGATACCTTTCTAGTAAAAAATATATATCACCTAAACACCCTTTGCTGTCTTAATTTAAATAGAAACATGTATTTTTTTCTTTTCTTTTTTTGAAACAGAGTCTTGATGTGTCATCTAGGCTGGAGTACAGTAGCTCAATCTCAGCTCACAGCAGCCTCTGCTTCTCAGCTTCAAGCAATTCTCATGCCTTAGTCTCCTGAGTAGCTGGGACTACAGGTACATGCCACCATGCGCAGCTAATTTTTGTATTTTTATTAGAGACGGGGTTTCGCCATGTTGGCCAGGCAGGTCTTGAACTCCTGGTCTCAAGTGATCTCCCCTCCTCGGCCTTCCAAAGTGCAGGGATTACAGTTGTGAGTCACTACACCAAACCAAAACACATGTTCTTAACAAAGTTGCAAGTATACATTCACTTGGTGCTGATAGCTGGTGTATTTGTGATGGACTAGTCTTTTTCTTTTGATGATTCATTTGCGAGAGGTTGCTGTGTGGCTAAGAGAAGGTTTTCCTACAGTATGTGGTATATTCCCAGGATGAGCCTCTGTTTTTTACAGTAAACAATTTCAAGATATGGTATCCTTTTGAGTTATAGGATAAAACACCATGGGCTTTGCAATCTTTTAGCACCAACTCTACCAGTGCTTTGTTTAGCAAAAGCAGGGGCATGAAGAATGAAGTTAGGAACAAATCTATTTCCTAGGATAGATCCATGTTGGGCCTGGTCAACCTGGTATCTCCACAAACAGCCTGAATATTATAAAAACCTGGATTGTGATCACCATGCAGTCAGTTCTCATGTTCAACAGCAAGACTTGCTTGCCCTGCTATTGTACCTTTTACATAATAAGTATGGCATGATTTCTTCTATATTGTGATCATTAAGGCCAAAGTCTAGTCCTTGACATTCACTGGTGTAAAATGTTCATGTGAAAGAAGAAAATGTTAAGTAAAGGTCTGAGGTAGTTGCATTGGGCCTAATGGAAAGAACACTGTATCAAAATTGAAATCTTGGCCCAAGTCCTCTACATTTAGCCTCTCTGTGCTTAAGCCTCTCTGTGCTTCCCTCTCTTGCTGGCTGCTTGCTTGTGGAAGTTTGTTCTTGCATGGATAAAGTAAGATAATTGAATTGAAAGGAGGGAAGGACATGAAGCTGTACAAAGATAGTGATAATAGCATAACGTTGTCCCTTCATTCATCAGTGGACAATAAACTGATCCAGGAGGTAAATGAAATAGGGGTTCTGGCTGGACACCTAGCCCACTTCGAGACTATTCTCATTTTGACTTGGGTCTTGCATTCACCTTGTAATTAGCAATCCCCTCATGCCTACCATACCGGGCACCTACAAAGCCTGTGTTTGCTAGACCAGCTAAGGGGCCATGTACTTACCCAATCATATCCAGCATCACCAAGGCTGCTGCTTAGAAGTGATGTGTGGGTGTGGCTTGATTCCCTTGAAGATTGGCAAAATGTAAAGGAGCGTGTGAAAAGTAAGCCCTTTGCTGGGTCTGCTGTTCCATTCGCCTCTGTGGAGGTCTAAATTATACGTGTTGGGTTTTTTTTTAATGGATCGATGTTAGTGTCGAGGTGACATTTGACACCGCTTCACTGCTCTAATGTTGCAGAAAATAAAGTTATCAGATGAACCTGTAGAAGCAAAAGAAGATTACACTAAGTTTAATACTAAAGATTTGAAGACTGAAAAGGTATGTGGGTTCAGGTGTAGCAATGAATCATTCGTACCCAGCGGATGATATGCACAAATACATGTGGAATAGTTGCGCGCCTCATTGTGATGACAGTTTAGACCAGGAAGAACTATTAACTTGCATTTCTGTGACTTAATAATTAATCCAGAATGGTGTATGACAGTGAAAGTGTTAAGCAACTAAGACTTTTTATGAGTCAAAGAAAAACAATATACTACTTACCCAGAGTGTGCCTAGATTTTTCTATGTATTCATAGAGTGGTAGTATGGGAAAGGAGGGAGGAAGCTCTACAGGTAATTTTTTGTCAACCCTGCTGCCCAGAAGCAGAAATTATGATTATTATAAAAATTATTAATAATTTCACCATTCAGCATTCACCTTGGCAAATGGCATTTTGGTAACATTCCTTACTGAATTTTA